ATTAATTAACAATCAATTAAGGTAAATCTAACACAGTACTATACTTTATTAATATTTTAAGTTTGTTTTAACTAGAATACATTTTTTTTAACGTTGTACTGAACTAACAATGATGAATTTAAATTTTCTTTTAGTAATCTATTATATTATATTTGTTTACCAATATATATCTCACCGTTCTCACATTTTATATAAACGATTTTGTTAAAATAATTTTTATGTAATCATAACTGTACGTATATAGAGGACAGTTGGGTAACTTTTAGTTAGGCCAATCAGCCTCCGGCTTTGAACGTTGGCTACCGTGTTGGTTGCAAGGTTTATATACACACATACATACATATCTAAGTATATCTATTACAGGTCCTACCTGTATCTCGCGGAATAATGAGGAATAATAATCTCAAGCATGGTTGTGTTTTCTTGTTCTTGTCGTTTTTAATAAATAAAATTAAAAAGGAAAAAAAGGGGAAGAAATACCTTTGACGGTTGGAAACTAATCGTAAATGTGTTTTTCTATTTCTTTTTCATTTTTCTTCCAACTTTTCTACTTGTTGCTTCGTACTTTCTTCTTTTCCCTTCGCACTCCATTTATTTTTTTATCGACAATCGAAAGCTTATCTTGATCAAAGATATAACATTTTACGTTAGAAGTTTAAATCCTTGAAAAAAAAAAAAAAAAATAAAATAATAAAATAACATACTCATTAATGTTAAATTGTATATATTTCTTTTTTTTATAATTTCTAATCTTGTTTATATGAAATTGTATCGAAGAATCATTTAAATTACACGCGTCTTTTATTTTTTCTTTTTTGGTTTTTTTCTTTTTTGTTACTTGTTATATATCTTACATATCGTAATAATCCTGTAAAGAATTTTTAGAAAATGATTAAAATAGTATTACATGGATTTCCGATTATTTCTAATTTGCGAAGCGGCAACTATGGTCCTTATTGAGAGCAAACCTTATGGATTATCGTTCGCAATAATGCCTCACGGCCAATTACCGTTCACCGTTGGATGCTGATATACTGCAAATTAACCGACTCTCCGTTCGCCGCTTAATCAGCATATTTATTACCGCGAAGCAGTACGAGTGTAATCTTGAGGAAAGACGGGGTAGGTGGGGAGGGGGGAGGGGGTTAAGGAAGAGAGAGAAGGAAAATAGGGAGGTTGGAGGGGGAGGGTAATATGCCTAGTTCGATTTCGTGATAGGCAGGTTAATCACGAACACGTTGAACATACTTTGTATTGCTCATATCTATAATATTGTAACATCTTTCAACTTGTTCGAATATGTTTCATTAGTTTGTTCGCGATTTAAAAATAAATCAAAAATAACAAAAGAAAATGCTATAATTATCATTTTACTTATCGTCGTAGTTTCTTTCTCTTGTTTTTCATTTTAATATTGATTTTGTTCGTTCGTTTTTTATCCTAACTAGAATAGGAAAAATTTGTTCTTTTCTGTGTGTTTATATAATTTGTGTAAATAATTGAAATATATATTATTATTATTTTTTTTTTTAATAATTACGATATACAATATTATATCTGATTAATATTACGTTATATGTTATTATATTTGAATACGTGATTAATTATGTACACGATTGAACTGTATTACAAATGTGAGTTTAATGTTGTACTATTTTTTTTATGTCTTTTAATGAATTAATATTAATAGGTCACACATATGTCACATTAATGTAGTTAACGTTCAATTAATTATCAATCTTTCAGTGTTATTAACATAGGACAAGAAAAAGTGGTTTACGAGTTTATTAATTGTTCATACTTCAATAAACAAATCGATAATAAAGGAAACAATTATTAATAAAGACACTATACTCTATTGCAGATATTTTTTGTTTTCAAGAGAAAATATATATAGGGATATAAATATTAAATTGTATTAAAGAAAAAAAAAATAGTCAAGTATTATAACAGCACCCAACGTCGTTTAAAAGTCGTCCTTGAGTTCGGGCTCTTCGAGTACTTTCAATTTTTCCCACCTTCTTCGGTCATAAAATTCACCCTCGGACGATAATCCTTTCCTACTTTCGCTTTTACGAACTCTCACCGTGTGCACGTACATACACATGTATATATATATATAGTTAAAACGAAGTAACCAACCTACACGTTCCTACGTACTATACCTAAATGTATATACTTGCATACACGCATAGAAAATATCTACAAATCTCGAGACGTAGTAAAGTAACGAACGGAATGACAGGGGACAGTCATTAAATTCAAGACGAGTTCAACCTTAACCCCCTCCCCGTCCCCGTCCCCGCCCCCCAATGCTCTTTTTTTTCTTCCTTTTTTTTTTCTTTTTTCTTTCGAAAATTCCACGTTCCAGAGAGCGTCGGCGGCCTATGCAATTTTCAACGCGTATCTATACATGCACATATGCAAACTCTCTCTCTCTCTCTCTTTTTATCACATACACACACACACTTTAATATATTTCACCGTTTTAGAAGAAGAAGAAGAAGAAGAAGAAGAAGAAGAAGAAGAAGAAGAAGAGGAGTAGGAAAAGACCGAATCGAATGTAAAGGCGATAGAAACTCGTGAAACGTGCGTTTAAATACTCGAACGAATTGCGATCAAGTATTTAAATCGTACGAACGTGTGCAAAACCCCCTTCTTCCATTCCCCCTTACCCCCTTCCTCCCACTCTTTTTATTTTTCTCTTTTTCTCTTTTATCTTTTTAATTTCATTTTTGTCGTTCGCATACGAAAGTGGTCAGGATTTATTGTAGTCAACGTTACGCGTTAACTTTTAACTATTGTTTCTATATATTTTTTATCATCGATTCTATCAACGATTTATTGTAATATGAAAAAATTTCGAATTTATTTAGTTGACTCGAATAAATATCTTTCCTCGATTACCAAGATTTTTATTTTATTCTCAATTTTTTTGAGCGAGGGGTTTTTTTTATTTTTAATTTATCAATTTAATATCGAACTGTGTTACGAGTATGAAGATTTTCTTTTTTTTATTTGGATCGTTGATAAAAATGATCTTGAAATTTTGTAGAAAAAATTCGTCGTGAAGATTAAACGACAATTTTGTTAAATACTTTACGAAACAAAATTCAAGAAGAACAGAAAAAAAACAAATCTTTAAATAGCGAACAACTGTAACCTTAAAAAAATTATGACATATTGCGAAGACTATAATATTGGTTCACCATTTTTCCTTACGTTTGAAGTGTATTCAAATAAAACACACTGCAAAAATATCTGTGCTTAATATTAAACACGTATACAGGGTGTTTAAAGAAAACAACAAAAATTAGCAAAATTAATGACAAATATATTTCATCTTTAATCTTGAATTAAAAAAACAAATATATAAAACTTATCTCATCACACACACACACGTAACACATAAAAACAGATAAGTAACATACAGAAAGAGAATTCGAGAGGAAATATAAACCCAAAGCTCGATATATCGCAAACAGTGAAAATGTTTTCAGTGCACACAATCAAAGGGGTAGCATCACATTTACGTAGAAACATACTAAACGACGTCTTTCGTATCTACCTACGACTACCTAACTCTTAGCGCATCGTAACTTACTAAAAACACCACGTTGTGTTAAGCTAAGGAAAATAAGGTATGGTGGTAAATAGGGGCGAGGAGGGGGGGGGGGTAAAGAGAAAGAGAGAACCCATTTCTATGTCCTACCTTTTCTCTTTCGTCCAGATACACGCACACAAACTTGCGGATTCACAAATACAATCTTAATGCTTTGTTTCTCAAATATGTGTGTGTGTATGTGTGTGTTGGTTAGAATCTATGTGGTAGATTATCCGAGTAGAAAATGTAATGGAACGAGTAAAGTTTGCGTTCACGCGTCGTTAAACTCGAACTAAGTAAGAGTAGGGGAAAGTGAGTGAGTGAGTGAGTGAGTTAGTGAATAAGTGAGTGAACGAATGATTGTGAGTGTGAGAGAGAGATAGATAGAACGAGACAATACCGATGGTGGAATAACACTAACGCGATTAGGTAACTGAAACCGTATCGACGTCTACAAGACGTTCAAACTTGTGTGTCTGTCTCTTTTCCCTTCTCTGATTTGTGTTTCATGCATGTGTTCATGTATAGTCTTCATGTATATGTGTTCATGTATAAGTGTCATGTATAGTCTTCATGTATACGTGTTCACGTATAAGTGTTCATGTATAGCGTTCATGGATAAGTGTTCATGTATAAGTGTTCATGTATACGTGTTCATGTATACGTGTATCTTTTTCTTTCTCTGTGTCTCTGTTTCTGTATGTGTGTAGACACTCTTGAGAATATATACATAAGGTATGGATAAGCAGAATCGAACAGACTCGATCCAGATTCCACGAAGCCCCTAGTGTAGATTCAAAGGAAATCGAAATGCACGTTTCTCCTGAGTTAATATAACGTCTCGTTTGCGAGAGAGATGGCCGATGGTAAGGAAAAGGGGGATAACAAGCACTTATCTCGTAACTTAATCTACGAGAGGAACCTCGTGAACGAACGATCGATATACACCTTGAATATATGTATGTGTTTGTATATATATGTAGCCACGTGAACGGTGTTACTCGAATGATTTCGATTGATTTTTGAATGATCGAATAGGCACGTTTGAAAAGTAACGTTTTAATCGGCTTACGTATTCGTTATCTTTGACTATTAAAGCTATTAGAAGAAATAGAATATAATATATAATGAGATAATAATATTATTAGAGAATATTTTTCATTGATTATATTATATTGAATTAATGTGTGATTTTGTTGTTGGGATATTATTTATAATTATAGAAATTTGTATGTCTTTAATTTATTTTTGTGATTTTTATATACTTGTATGTTGTACAATTAGTTGTTTTAGAATACACACCATCATTTGTGTATTATATGTAAAATAAGTTAAATTCGTGATTTAAATCAATAACTTTATCACTAACGATCAATATCTTACATGTATGTTTCAGAAGCGGCAGAACGAGTATATATACGAGAGGAAAAAAAAATAAAATTATCGGCGACCTTATCGGGGTAAGGAAATTTTTCATCGAGTCATTCTCGACCAATCAAACGTTCTTTATATTTCTTTTCTGTTTCTTTCTTTCACTCACTCTCTCTCTCTCTCTCTCTCTTTTCTTCTTTTTCTTCTTGTTCGTTTTTTAATACAACAAAAGTGGATCACCTTACACGAAATTTACAATATTTTACGATGACATTGGCCTTGCACGAGCAGCACGTGTTACGCAAGGTCGTTTATTCCCGAAAAAAAAAAAAAAAGGAAAAAGAAGAAACGGTTCAACGAACTCTCATAATTTTATCGAATATAATATTTTATATTCCTTTATTCCATTTATTTTATTAGTTAATTTACATTTATACCTCGACGGTTGCGAAAAATTGAAGGAGGAAAAAATATGGAATATCTTTTTTCTCTTTTTTTTCGAATTTTTTCTATCATTTGTCTCGACAACTTTTATCGAAGGGCGAACAAAATGATTTCATTCAATTGATATTCAAATATTCCTTAAGGAATATTTTTCCTATCGTAAAATAAATCGAAATATGTAAAGTTTTACTTTTAAGTGACTCATCAAATGTATATTACATATATAAATCATCATATATACGAATATATGTGTGTTGGTACATGAATCATATTATATACATATATATATCACACATACATATCATACGTATAATATGCGAAGTATATAAGAAACCTGTTGCAATCGAAGAAAGTTATTCGTTCTATGGGGGAAAAAAAAAAAAATAATTAAAAAATATGTCGTACGAAAATAAATTCGTTTGATTCGACACAAAATGATTTACTTATTTAAAAACATTAACAAATATTATAGGTACATATCACAAAATACGTATACATATACCTGTACTTCGATCAAAAGTTTAATATACAAAAAAAAACAAAAAAATTATAAAAGAATTGATTCTTAAACATTGAAAAATATTACACGTATCCACAAATTTTCGCGTAAGTTAGAATTTTTATTAAAATTCTTTGATTTATCGTTTCGTTATAAAACAATCCCGAATATTTATATAATCATTTGTTTTCCGAGTATATATATAAAAAAATCGTAATTGATCATAACACATCCTTAAGTTTACGATTTCGCATAGATATCTTAGTTCCTCGTTCGTCGTTTTCAACTTCCCCCATCCCATTTCTATTTCTTTTTTTTTCTTTTTTCCTTTTCTTTCTTCTTATAGTTTTTTTTTTTTTTTTCATACTCTTTGGTTGCATCGACAAAGCGACAGTGTAAAGTCATTATCTCGTTAAGGTGAGCGGGCCGTTACTTCGGGAGTTAATGGCTCGTGAAAAATGCTCGATCGAGCTCGGTGTTTCCTTCACCTCCCCCTCCTGCCTCCTGCCTCCTCCTACTCCTCATCTTGTCTCCTTCATCATTCTCTTACCTCCACCTTTTTCCATTTTGTTTTAGCTCATCATCCGATGAGAACGATCTTATGTCGTTTGTAAGTACTTTGTGTTGACCAAATAAATCATATATTTACCATTTCAAATTGAATAGGGATAGAAAACAAAAATGATAAACTAGTATAGTATACTCGTTACGCGTTAGTTTTCTTTTTTCTTGTTTTTTTCATTTTAATTTATTGACCAGAGAAAAAATGCTTAACGGTGTGAGATTAAAATCGTTTGGTTTGTTTTTCGTTCGATATTTAAAAGAAAAATTTCAATTAAATCCGATCGAAAGTTATCTCAATTTATTTGATTTCTGATTATATGATAATAGTTTTAATATATAATTATAATATAAATATAGATTTTTAAAAAAACATAACAATAATTATATATCAAATCGAGATAGTTACCTATAATCGTTTTTATTAATTAACAAAATAACGATTCCATACATAAATTCATTACGTGATCGTCAAATTGTAAAAGAAAAAGTAATATTAGTTATATGAGGTATCCATAAAAAAAAAAGAGAGAAAAAAAAAGAAGGAAACGAAACCAAGGATAACAAAACGTAGAACAAAAAATATCTTTACCAAAAAAAAGAAAAAAATACACCACCAACACAATAAAGATCTCAATTATTATAATACGATACGACTAACGTGATCTCAGAATCTTACAAAACAAAAAAAGAGAGACAGAAATAGAGATACACCTCTAAACCGTAAGATACCTACTCATTTAAAGGAAAAAAAAAAAAGAAAAAAAATATTAAGAAAAGAAAAGATACAAAAACGTGTGTCTCCTCCCACCTTCTTCCACCCTTCCCCCCCCTCTTTCCCTCTCTCTCGTTCTCTCTTTTTCTTTTTGTTGTTTCTTTCTTAAGATCGTGCAGAGTGGTAGGATTCAGGTGAGTCCGTGCAAGAAGAGCACAAAGTCGTTGTATGTACCTGCCGTGGCAGACAAATTCCGGCCATTAAGTGTTCGAACATTGCCGAGAGAGACTGTGAACCCGGAGAAGCTTCTCTAAGAGTTCTACCTCCACAATATAAACGTTGGACTCGTGGATTGACCCTTTGCGGTACTCCCACCATCACAACTGGACATTTGCCATCACCTACGCCACACGCGTTACTATACTACCATTACTAAAACACATAGACACATATACTATTACCTTTGTGTCATGAATATAATACCACACGAGACACGTTATATCTATACCATTTATATGTATATATGTATGTATATGTAGTTAAGTTTCTATATAATAGTAAGAAAGATTATTAGTATTGGTTAGTAACATTGAAAACTAATACATATATATGTATGATTAAACGTTTATATAGTTTACTTGCATATACAACATATTACTATTACTAATATATATATACTTTCTTGTATGTATATGTAGTTAAGTTTCTATATATAATAGTATTGGTTAGTAACGTTGAAAACTAATACATATATGTATGATTAAATGTTTATATATTTTA